ACCGTTAGCTTGCCTGTTAACAAAGGAGGTATTATGTATAGAAAATGCAGACATTTTCCATAAAAGGAGAGAAGGAGAGGGAGAGCGCCAGTCTGTCTGTTTAAAACCGGATGTCACCACATTCCTTTTACACATATGGCTTCAATCTATCTCTCCCTGTGTTGGCTCCAATTCACAACCTCTTCTTCCTTTAATAAAGCTACAACTAAGCATAAAAACAAAATTAAAAATCTTTCATCAGCGTTACTGCCCATCTCTGATAATAGGTGATACATTAAGCTGGAAGTCGCATATAAGTCATATAGATATCAATATTTCAAGAAGGGGCAATACTTATAAATGTTCGCTATCATCAATCTTTATATTACAAAAAAGGGCCATAAGGATAATCCATATAACTTGTTACAGAGATCATACAAATCCACTATTCCTAAAATCAAAAATACTAAAATTCACAAATGTGGTTCATTTTCTGACAGCACAAATAATGTATAAAGCAATAAACAATCTACTTCCTGGCCATATTCTAAAAATGTTTTCTAAAAGGCAACGGGTATACGATTAGAGGGGGGAATTAAATTTAAAACATCCTTGTATCCGTACAACATTAAAAAGTTTTTGCATCTCTGTTTGTGAAGTGAAGCTGTGGAACAGTAAAGAAATGAAGCAATATCCAAGCATGAGTCAGTTTAAAAAGCGGTTCAAGGGTATGGTTTTTGCAGGGTACAGGGACGAGGTAGAGCTCTGATAGGGTATTTTTGTCCAATATTTTCATAATGCCAATGTGTGTTTATGTGTGTGCGGGTGTGTTGGTATGGGTATATATATCTGTAGGTTGTGTGTTGTAACCCCAGTTAATTTATACATAAATGAAAAAAAAAAATTAATAATAATACATGTAACATATAATGTAATTGTAATGAGGTATTTCTGTAGTCTGTTGATTACTAGATAGTTGAAAGGGGGTAGGATTAAATAAGCATATGCTTCTTCCTGCTCCTTTTTGAACATGAAAGTTTTTGTTTTTGTTGTTTGTTTGTTTTTTGTAGTTGTGGTTGCATTCTTTTCCTTTTGTTTTGCTTTGTTTGTTTGTCTCTGTCTTATTCCTTTGTGATTGTACTTTTTTAACATGTTCAAAATAAAGATTCAATTCAAATTGTAATTCAAAAAGTTAGAAAGAATGTTACAACTGCCCTTGGTCTACCCAATACATTATAAGGACATTAATAGATTATAGTTTGTTTTAATTTTGTTTTGTAGTCACGTTAATTTAATTTTTTATTATTCATCGTAAGGACAATAATTGTAACAATAACAATACCAAACAGAATTATGAAGAAGTACAAATCAATGGGCATTGCTGTTTTGGAACTAAGGACATAAAACACATTTAAACGTGTACATACGTTCTGGGCTGCCAGGGCTGCCTGCTCCTCGTAGATATCTAGGTTTTTTTTCATGTGCTGCAGAGCATCATGGCGGGACAAAGGCACACTTGGGTCCGGGTTCAGGATTATTTTGTGCTCGTACACAGCGGCAATGTAAAATGAGTCAGCAGCAATGACTGATGCCAAAGAAATACTGAAAGAAATGGTAACGACCAACAACATGTTTTCTCTTCTTTCCTTCCTGTGAGACATGACAGATGTAACTCAAGGCTGGACTATAAATAATAGCTAGGAGGTCAGACGTCATCCATGAAGCCTGCTGAGTCATCTAAATTTTGTAGTTAAAAAGTGGCAAAAGGCTCCTATTGCCAAACAGTGGGGTTTTCCCCAAACATCCTCTTTTGAAACATGTTCATTAAAATCACAATAACACATACTTTAAGAACAAAGTATCATGGGATAATGTAGTTAGCAGCATTAAATAGCCTTAGGATAGATTTAGATATCAAGAAGAGAGAGGACATTAAAGCATTTAAATGACTATTTTCTTTATTCACCAGCTGTCTGTTATATGTTATATATATATATATCAAATGTTATAAAAAGAAAAAAATGACTTAAAAATTAACTAAATCAAAAGAAGATCTACTTTGTTCTATCTTCAAAAATATACATATATAATGTTTTAAGAGATGAATGGTCTTTTAATTATTTAGTAATTTATAACAAATATACTTGTATACAGTGATTTACCGCCAGTATTTATGATCTTTCAAAATAACTCCACATCAACCTTTTATAGCTCCATATCGTCTCAGAGTGCTTCTAAAAATTTATATACATTTTAAAAAGAACAAAAGTTGATTAGATTGTTCAGGTGCTGTTTTCACTGTAAACATTAATCATAATGGAAAAAAGCACTAAAGCACACAGTGAACCCAAGCTTATGTCACCAAGTAGCTGTCCCACAGTGAACTCGCCTTCTTCTTTGGAAGTTTGGACTCGTGAGCGTACCTGTCAAACAGAAACTAGCAAGTATGTGAGGATAAACTCTGGGTAATTGGTTCTGAAAAACGCCCACAGAAAGATAGGTGATAGGTGAGGATGACAGATAAAAAATGATGAACTGCAGCAAAGGAACCATGAAATAACAATTTTTTTTATTTAATTATATAGTCATTTATGTCATTTTTGCACTTTTCATTAAAAATGAAAATGACAGTACGTTATAGTTGAACAAAAGTTCGGCTATAAAGATTAACAGTATATGAACCAAGATCATTTTGGTTTACTTAACCAGACATAATACTGACTGTTACATAAAATAATTGTTCAACTTGAAAATATGGAAATATTAGAAAAAATATGCTCACATTTATTTTTTTGAATGTAAAATGAAATTGCACATTAATGTATCAATTTCCTTTTATAAATGTGTACTGTGGCTATAGTAATGGGGACCATTATGTAACTGTCAAAGTACATGTAAATGCAAAATGTGGACTGAACTCACATGTGGACTTATTCACCAGACTAATTTAGTAAATAATCCTCATCTTGACGTCTGCTCAAATTGGAATATTTAAGGAAGTGTGCAGCTCTCATCATACTGCTCCCTTCTTTTAACAAAAGCCATTTTAAACACAGGTGTAAATGAAAAATTGTTTTGCCTCTCTATGTTTATCAAACGTACCAGTGAGCCAGTTCATCTCAGTACAGCAGGGCATCAATAAATGTTAATAATTATCTTTGTGTTTGCCATACAAGGACACATTCAAACAGCTTCTGTGAAAAGGGCCAATCAGCAGGTTTAAAAAGAGACTAGGTCCCAGTTTCAGTGTCCACACTAATAAACATCACCTGTTTGTGTAGCAGGACTGTTTAAGTGTGAGAGTTCATGGGTCCAGGATGGTCTGGACAGGATATCACTTCATGATATATCATGTGAGATTACTTTGAAAAGGCTACGCCATATTTCTAACTGTGAGACTGTCTGATTTGGAAGTCTTTTGCGGGTTTTTTTCTTTTGGTAGTGCTAATGAGAGAACCACTTTTTAACAACAACAACAACAACAACAACAAAAGCAACAATAATAATCAATAATAATAATAATGATAATAATCATCATCATCATCATCATCATTACCATCATAATAAAGCTTACATAAGAGAGTTCAGGCTGCAGTGAAGAATAAAGGTCATTACACCAGCACTGACTGACTATCAAGCTCATTAGAATTATACAAACTGTTTTGATGGATGCTCAGTCATCCAGGTAAGGAATCAGTCTCCAGAAATATTGATTCTGTTCATCTGCATGTGACGTTTTCTGTGGGAGAAGTGTTTCATCACTCATTCAAGTGGCTTTTTTGGTCTCAGCTGACTGCAGTTTTCGGCAACCTTTTAAACAGTACATTTGCATAATGACTGAAACTAGCACCACTGGCGAACAATGGGCTGTGAGGTGTTTTGTTTGGGTTTCCACCGGCGTGGAATTACCAAAAATAAAGATAGCCTTAGCCTTAGCATAGCCTAACATATGAAACAGGAAAAGACCGCTGTGTAATCCATTTATTTCACAAAGTAACTGTATTCTGAATGCCACCTTTTTAAACAGTAACTGTAACGGAATACAGTTACTCATATTTTGTATTTTTAAATACGTAACGCATATATTCCGTTACTCCCCAACACTGCCCTAAAGACACGTTGATGGTTTGGAGAAAGTAATTATTGAAGTTAACTCAGAAAGATCAATTGGAGAAAAAGAGTCTAATAGAATATCAATGGTACTAAAAGCAGCTGTAGATAATATTACAGATGATTATGGGTAATTTGTTCTCTAATTGTGACCCGTGTTAGGTACCTATTTAAAATAGGACAGAGCCGTAGGCGCACAGTCAGTTAAAAAGGGTTTAATTTTTAATACAAAATAAAAGTAACGGTGTAACAGCGGCACGTAAAAACAATTAAAAACTTTACTTCATGTAACCTGGACGTGTGTCCCTCTATCTATAAGAGATGATCTATACTGCTCGCCCAAGTGCAATGTCTACAATATCCGAATCTAGGTTTGGGAAGGAGATTGGCGGTAGCAACTCTGTAAGAGCAATAAGACTTCCAACCCACATAACACGCACGACCACAGGTTTGTGAAACAAAGTTTGCTTTATATATATTTTCCTTGGATCAGTTCCCTTTGCTCATTCTCAATGTAGGGATAACTTCAAATGCAGTAACCATGGGACAGGCTCACAGTCATAAGAGGGCATATCAAAAACATGGTGGGCATACATGTTAGCTTTCAAAGCACCTAAATGCTTTTTCATCCTATCTAGCTTTGTGGAACGGCGGTCTTCCTCAGTTCTCAGCATGAGGAGGAATTCAGGAAATGTTGGTGGATTTCCCTTTTTGCACTCTAACTGTAAGCCGATGATGATGCTCTGATCCCAACAGCCCCTACAAAACTGTCTGAGCAAATGATCATTGGAATTTCCAGCTGAGGCTCCCCCTCTAGAAATTGCTCTTGTGAGGAGGCTATGGAGCCTGTTCAAGTATGCTGATGGCTTCTCTCCACTATCTTGGTTAGAGCCGAGAAATGCCGCAAACAACTCCTCTCCATCCTCCACAACACCAAAAGCAGAGTCAAGTTGAGTGATGTAGACACTTGGTGGTGAAGAGATGCCAAGAGGCTTCACAACATCAGCTGCTGGACTCAGCAAGCTCTCAAGAATCCTTCTCACCTTGTGAGCATCATTCAAGGAAGGATCGTTAAAGAGAAGATCAACTTGGGTGTGCCATGTTTCGTAGTCCACGTCACCGTTTGGCCTTGGGATCCGCCCAGAGAAGGTGTGCAACCTTATTTGTGGGGATGGTGAAGTGGTGGACTCACTTCGGATGACATGCTCCACAATCAATTTCTGGATCTGGTAGGGGGTTAAAAACATCCTCACTGATGTGGACTGGGCTAGTTGGTAAACTAGCAGATGCACTATGAACATGTGTGGGCTCTGCAGGCTCATTTTGATCATTATTAGGTGTGTTAGCATTTTGAGCTGCATAGGGCTGTGTAGCATTACTGTGTACATCATGTGATGTGCCCTGGTTCCCCTGCAGTTCCTCCTGAAGCACACTCAAGAAACCTTTCCTGCCACTGCCTGCGACAGGCCTTAGTTCACCCAGGTATCTGCGAGCTATCCCTCCCCACCGCTTCCTGACAAACATTTCTAATGGTCCTCGCAAACCACAACACAGCGGGGTCCTTTGGACTTGGTACGGTACCCAAGGTAATGGGGTCGATTCTAGAGATAGACCTGTCAGATGCATACTGAATCAGGGCTCTACCCTCTGGTTGTCCTGATTCGTCAGGGATCCTGACTAATTTAGAAATGTCTCCATTAACTTTGAACACAGCAGTTATTTCTTCATCTGTGTATTCTGGTCCTATACCTGTTACATACAGGGAGTTCTGACCATTGTTACGATCCAATGTTGTCAGTGTTTTGTTTTAGGCGTGACTGTTATGTGTTTCCTGTTTTACTTTGAAGGTCTGTCTTATCTCAGTGTGTTCAGTTTACGCTTCCTTGTCTCGTCAGTTCTGATTTGCCCCAGCTGTGTTTCCCTCTTGTTGTCCATTCCCTGATTGCTCCCTCTATGTATTTAAGCCCCGTGTTTCAGTTTGTCATTGTTGTGGTCTCCCCTCTCTACTAGCCTCCACCATCCAACAAATAGCATGAGCTTTTGATTTGGTTTTTTTGGGTTGTTGATAGAGTGTCTGTGCAGAGCGAGTTGCAAGTATAACCGTGTGTGGGTATGTGTCTGGTGTTGGTATCTTAGTTTTGTAAATAGCTGTAAATAGATTTGTAAAGTAGCATTTTAGATTGAGTATTTTGTTCACCTTGTATATATTGTTCACTGCAGCAGCCTAGTAGGTGTGAGAAGTCATTTTTGTTGATTACGTTTTCTCCTGTTTTTCATGTAGAAAGCTAGGTAAGTGAATTGTCTTTTGTTTGGTTTTAATTTTGTGTAGGAAAGCGTAGGGACCATTAGGGAGTTTTGTTTGTTATTTTTGGCACTGCTCACTGCTGAAGCAAATAAATGGCTGCTTAGCACTTTAAACGATATTGTTGTTTGGGTTCTTGCTTGGGTGGAGTGTGAGTGGGCCAACTTCTTGTTGCGTTCAAGACACGCCTAGACTAAGAACGTAACACCATTAACCTCAAAGCGGTTGCAAATATCCATACCTGACTCAGTGGAACGAATGTCACAAT